TGTACATACACAAATAACAATATTTTTAACGAGAATATAAAATAATATATAGTTCGATCTAAATTGATAATCTCTTGTATAAATAATGAAGTACTAAATTATTTGACCGAAAAACAAAAAGCACTGGTATTTACCAAATTGGGTATAACTAAACACTAAATATTTTGTACTCAATTCCTTCTCGTGTGTGTGTATATATATATATAAAAAGAAAAAGAATAGATAATAAGCTATAAAAATTATTTTAAAAGGGACTAAACAATGTTCCACCTCTTTAAATTTTGTGAGGGAAACCAAGACAAAGTTCATAACTCATTAATTTTATAGAACCCAGCCCAATCTTATTTTTGATATATACATTCAACCCATAAGGTTATATCCCACTATAGATTTAAAAGTATTGACTAAAATTAGATACGTAGGTGGACCAATTTCAATTTTGAAGTCTAATATAAGTATTGGATAAGATAATTTTATTATTATTATATATATATATATAGTTTTTGTTTTGGATAGTGGAGTTGATCCAAACAAGAGGGAAATATTGTATTGTTAAGTGTTTTTCCAAGATGAAAGTATCGAAATCTGCCATTCCAAATCTCAAAGTCAATAGGCTCTTTTCCCTATTTTTATTTTTCTTATAAAATAAATAAGTAAACTATATGTATATATATATATATATATCTAGTGGTTAAATTTAATATCTCTCGTACCCTTTCCCTAATATTTTCTTGTAAGAAAATGTTTATCAAATTATTCTTGAATTAACATGTAATTCTTTCCCTATGATATTCACCCATATCATTCAAATCAATTTTTATATATAATAAGATTGTATAATGATAAAATCATTATGTATGCAACCCATTTCAATTTATTTTACACCCATATATATATATACACACACCCACATATATATATAATGACAAAATTATTAGTGTTTATATTTTGTATATATTATATTATATATTATTCCAATTGTTGTGGTTGTAAAATAAATTAAGGGTATGTTTGAAATAAAAAATTATTTAAAAATACGTTTTTAATTAAAAAAAATTAAAAATTTCCAAGTGATAAGAATTGGAGTAAAATAAGAAAAATAAATTTTAAATTGAAGAAAATTAATAAAATTTGAAATATATTGTTATAATTTTTATTTAATAGAAAATTTAATATTTATTATTTTTAATAAAATGTTCATCTCGTATTTAATTAATAAAATCAATGAAGTCACGTGAAATTGGTGCGTGAAGGCAACGTAGACGAGAAATTGGAAATCCTGCTCCTATTTCTCAGATTCTATAGCGTACAGATCCAACGCCCAGTCTATCCTCACCTAAATCTTTCTGAATTCCTATTGGTTAAACCTAGCCCAATTATTATCTGCCACGTGTACACCCCAAAATTCATCCTCTCCTCACCACCACTGAACTGTCTGGTAGACCGACCAGTCAACTCAATCTCCCTCTGCTAAACCCTAACTGCACACACTCTTTCTCGCTCTAGAAATTGGACATTGAAAATTGGAAATTGGAAATTGGAAATGTTGTTGTAAATTTTTTTAATTAATGGAAAAGCTAACAACCCTTCAATATTGTGATTCATCTCGCTAATCTCCCATTTCTTACCCGACTCATAAATCTCTCCTCAAAGCCATCAACCTTTTTCCACTCTCTGATACCACTGTCTCTTCTTCCTTTTCTTCTTCTTCTTCTTCTTCTTCTTCTTCTTCTTCTTCTTCTTCTTCTTCTTCTTCTTCCTTTTAGAAGATGGGCCTTAAAGAGATTTTGAATCTCATAAGCTGATCGGATAACCAGCTCACCCTATTTTTTGTCTCTGCGAATCTTTTCAATTCCCCAGAAGAACACGCCAAGAAATTAAAAAGCTGATATTGTAGCAAGAAATGGCTGCACCGGTGGCTAGCCAGCTTCAGAGTACGCTGCAGGCGGCAGTGCAATCCGTTCAGTGGACATACTGTCTCTTCTGGCAATTTTGTCCGCAACAAGGGTAATCTCTAATTGTATCAATGACTCAATATCACACTAATAAAAATTGGGGCAGCGCTTAATCATACATACATATATATATATATATAGATGGTGATTGATTGATGGATTCATGTATATGGTGTTGCAGGATCTTAGTATGGGCAGATGGGTATTACAATGGAGCAATCAAAACCAGGAAGACGGTGCAGCCAATGGAAGTAACTGCGGAGGAGGCTTCACTGCAAAGAAGCCAACAGCTTAGAGAACTATACGAATCATTGTCTATCGGAGACACCAACCAGCCAACAAAAAGGCCTTGCGCCGCCCTGTCGCCTGAAGACTTAACCGAGACCGAATGGTTCTATTTGATGTGCGTTTCCTTCTCTTTTCCTCCTGGACTGGGGTAAGTTCCTTCACATATATATCTATATATATATACACACACATACTATCTCAAGTTTAACTCTTTTTATTATACACACGTCATTAATATGAATTACCTCTTCCTTTTCATCTTTATAACAATAACTCAAACATATCTTGTGCTTGCCAACCAGTCTGATATCTCACTGATCCTTCATAAGAATCTGTTCATCATCAGAAAACATTATTTACATGTATACATATATATATATAGAGTTCCCCTTCCAAGAGGATAGGATATTTACTGGTGGGCCAAAGATATTGAATATTTTGCCAGCTGAAATTAGCAAGTAAAAGATTTTGAAAGAGTACAGTAAATGAGTAGAGAGCAGATGATAAAATTAAATGAGTGTTAGATAGGATTCTTTTTGGTAGATTACAAAATTAGCTCTGTTACATTTTACACAAAGAAGTCGTATTATCTACCCAATATTCTCATTCATACATACACACATATATGTATACACATATATACATACATATATTTGTAAACACATTTATCCCTAAATGTTATACAACTACTCATTAATAATGAAATTGGAGGAAATGGTTAAAGATACTAAACTAGGTATTGAGTAACTAATTCTTTTTATGGTGGAATATGCATATATGTGAAAAGAGACAAATCACTTCTATGCACTTTTTTAATTACCTTGGATTAGATTTAATATATATATATATATATATTCACCAAGGTAAATACGGTTTTCTATTAACTTTAGACGGTATATATGTATATATATATACCAATTGAATTGTATGTATGTGCAAACATGGATATCAATCTATATAAACAAATTTATACAATATAACTGTAACTATATATATGTATATACATGAAGAGAAATGTATATTATTGTATAGTTGATGCATGTAAAACATATATGTAGAGTTAAGTAGTTGGTATGATTGAATTATAGGTTGCCAGGAAAGGCATATGCGAGGAGGCAGCATGTATGGCTTACAGGCACAAATGAAGTCGACAGCAAAACTTTTTCTCGAGCTATTCTCGCTAAAGTACTTCCCATCTTTTTATAGGTCTTTTGATTTTCGATCGAATAATATTACATCATGCACAATATATATATATATGTACATGTGTGTGTATAGATTATTTCTTTTTTATGAGTGTGGGTTCGATTTTTAAGTTCTGCATTCTGCTTGTTTTTAATTTTTGATCTTCTCCATGTGAGATCTAATTAATGAATCTCTCTCTTGATTCATCTCCGCCATTGATAACCCACCAGAGCGCTCGCATTCAGGTACACAACTCTTTAACCATGAAATTCAACCCTTTACTTATATATATATATATGTACTTATATATGTAAGTAGTTAGTTTCTCTTTTTTTTTTCTTGGAAAATTAAAGAGAGCAGCCGGTTATAATATTCTCTTGCAGACTGTCGTTTGCATTCCCCTTCTCGACGGTGTCGTTGAGCTCGGCACAGTTGATAAGGTAGCTTACACACAACTTCTACACCAACTTAACATCTGCGTGCATGCCTTATTTATGTATGTAATCTCTTGTACGCATGCACGGATAATATGTTTACATATGTATGTGTATATATACATATATATATTAAAATGGAACGATGTTCAGGTTCAGGAAGACGTAAGGTTTGTGGAACATGTGAAGAGCTTTTTCAGCGACCATCTCCATCAACAAAAAAATGTTCAGCAACCAAAACCAGCCCTCTCCGAGCACTCCACCTCCAACCCACCATCATCAGATCACCACCACTTCCATTCTCCGCTCGTGCCTGGTATCTACCTCTCCGCAGCCCAGGCGGTTCAGGTTGACGACGAGGTCGACGAAGACGATGATGAAGAGGAAGATGACGAGGAAGAGGAGGAACCCGAGTCAGACTCAGCGGATATAGGCCATACAAGCCGCAGCATAGGCCCTGATAAAACGCAATCAGTAGCGGCGGCCGAGCAAAGCGAGCTAATGCAGTTGGATTTATCGGAGGATATCCGGCTGGGTTCGCCGGATGACGCATCGAATAACTTGGACTCGGATTTCCACATGCTGGCGGTCAGCCAATCCCCGGCGGATCAGCAGCGGCGTTCCGACTCTCTAAGAGCGGAGTCATGCCAGAGGTGGTCGCCCGTGTTGCAGGAACCGTTGAATGGTAGTCGTGTCCAACCACCTTCAGGTAATTAAATGGAAAAACAAAAAATTAAACACACAGGAAATCAAATCTCAGTTGAAAATTAGATAGCAGTACCTGGCGATAAATATATCTAATATTATATTGGTCCACACGTTGACGTAACATGTAGATAAAGCAGCTGGCAGATGATATGATCTATACGTTCATATATATATATATATATATATATATATACAAACAAACATATATACTGTAAAATAAGTAATATATAGAATGATAAGAAGAAGTTGACGTGCAGCGTACTGGATGAATGTCGCGGTAACTTTTCGTCTATTTTTCTCACTTGTTTGGCAGCAGTAGTACTACTATCCTTGTTTCCACGGGCAACTTTTCAACAAAGTCAAACTTACGTTAAAATGACAAAACTACCCTCGATGCATTATTTATTACATTAAGCCACCATAATAATAATTTATTTTATTTTTAATAGAGTTAATTATGGGAACAGGAGAGGACATGACGCAAGAGGACTCGCACTACTCGCAGACAGTATCAACCATCTTGCTGAGCCAGTCAACCTGGTGGGCCGAGTCAACTTCCAACGTGGCATCTTACGGGACCTATTCCATCCAATCAGCATTCGCCAAGTGGACAAACCGATTCTCTGACCAATATCACCACCACCGTGACGTGGAGGCTGCCCCCTCCTGCGCGCAGAGGCTACTAAAGTACGTGCTCTTCACCGTCCCTCTTTTACATAACAAATACCGCGAGGATAACTCGCAGAAGCGGCCGGATGATGGCGAGGCTGCGGCTGCGACACCCCGGATGAAGAAGGGAGGAGGAGGAGGAACGGCGGCGCAGGACGAGCTGAGCGCGAACCACGTGCTGGCGGAGAGGCGGAGGAGGGAGAAGCTGAACGAGAGGTTCATCATACTGAGGTCGTTGGTACCATTCGTGACGAAGATGGACAAGGCCTCCATTCTCGGCGACACAATCGAGTACGTGAAGCAGCTTCTCAAGAAGATTCAGGAGCTAGAGACCCGAAATCGGCAGGTGGAGCTCGAGCAGCACTTGAGCACGACGACGACGAGCAGCGGTAGCGGGTTACCGAAGGCGCAGAGGTGGGGTCGGGTTCCGGGTAAGAAGAAGAAGAAGGTAATGGATGGTGGAGATAAGAAGAAGGCTGTAGAGGATGGGGTCGAGGTGTCGATAATCGAGAACGACGCGTTGTTAGAGTTGCAGTGCGGGTACAGAGAAGGACTGCTGCTTGATATCATGCAGCTGCTGCGTGAGCTCCGTATCGAGACCACTGGGGTTCAGTCTTCCTACAGTAATGGAATCTTTATGGCTGAGATCAGAGCCAAGGTACAGTATTGTATTTCGCTACCATACACACACACACACACAGAGACAGAGACACATATACATGCAAATTCCCATGAGCGATTCTTTAGAGAGTGACGCATATATTATGCATACTTGCGCCTGGATATATGCATGCAATTTTATACGCGAACAGCTATATACATATATATATTCTACAGAGGTGAAAGTGGGGAATTACGTAAGAGTAGTGTTGTATATTAATGAACGTATATTACAATGGCAGGTGAAGGAGAATGTCAACGGCAAGAAAGCGAGCATTGTGGAGGTGAAGAGGGCGATTAATCAGACTATACCCCACTTTTGATTTTACTCTTACTATCTGACTAACTTACTCTGTCAACATGTGTCGGTAAAGTATTAATGACTGAGAAAATGTAATCTAACACATCCTTACACACGCACACACACCTATATATCAATTATTATTATAACCATGTATGTATACATAATTATATTAAATTATAATTATAGAGTTAATTCTGTGAATTTAAAAAATATATATCTAACTCCATTATATGCTATTCTTATTATAAGGTTTAAAATTTAGATGAGTTTTTTTTGTCTCACTCTTATCTCAATACATATATATATATTGATTTATGACCATCTTACACTTACCAAGACGGCACCGTTTTTCTCATGTTTCATCCAGCGTTCAGGTAATTTTACGACCGACATGCAAAATATATCGAGTTTATTTAAATGAACGATTTTATTACCCCAAGTTAAATTGAAAAGTATCTTATGGCATTTAAAATCAATTATTGATTTTTAATTTAAAGTATCTTTAAAATTAATTTAAACTAATAGAAAAACACAACATAATAATTATGGCGTTAACACATTTACAGCTAAATTTTACCCTTCTACCATGGAAAACAATTCATCATTGATAAAGGACTTGCTGCAGAAGAAAGATGTACTTATGCCTATATATGTAGATATGTAAGTACGTACTATGAAGAGTTCGTTCACTACAAGTTTACAGCAAGTAATTTATATTTTGGGTATCTAAATAAAAGAAAAAAAGTGAAGCCCACATGAAAATTAGACAGAGAGATTAATTTGGAGACCACCACCTATCAAAACTGAATTTGCCTATGTAGCAGAGTAAAACTATCAGTAATGCATAATATCTTGCATGCCATCATCACCCATCTTCTCCAAGTCTTCTTGTGACAATAGAGTCCTCCTACCACTGTTACCCCCCTTGTCATACGGTTGCGCCATTTTCCGAAGGAACTGCTCCCACATAAGGAAAAAGATTATATAGGTGAAGCTAGTAAATCTAATGCTAGTCAAGGAAAACAAGATTTATGTAAAACCAACTAATATGTAATGCTTCTGGTGCTAATATGTTCTGATGAAACAATTTTGAAACTACCACCATGTTTCCATCTCCAGGCATACCAGATTAGAAGCCAAACCATAAATTTCAAGCATAGAAAATTTTTATAATCAGTTGAGTAGAGAGGTTATGTAACATATAGCCAACAAGGAAGAATCATCTACAAGGTGTTTGCTAAATATATTTTTTCAGGCATCAAAACTAGCATGTACTTTCTAGGTAGGCAGAATTTTGTTTTTAGAATCGAATTTAAAATCAGTCAAATGTAAAAAAAAAAAAAAAAAAAAAAAAAAAAACCTTTTTTTTCTATCCGTTCAAATCCTCTGAGTTTGAAGGGACCAAAAGAATGACTTGTGGAGAGGTTAGGATGCCTCTGGATAGTTCACTACTTGCCATCCAAGTCCCACTCACTGGCTTCATCTCAAAACAAAACTCACAAACCAGGGGATAAAACCTGTACTGCTCCTTGTCACTTCTTCTCTCCCCACTCCAAGGATTACCAGAATCACGAGTGTAGTTTTATTTTATGTCTTTAATTTAGCAGACAAAGTAAGAACTAGCAAACGGGATAAGATTTGTCGGACTGTTTGTGTGAACCAAATTACAAATTCTCTGAGTGCTAATGACAATGATATACACACCTCTCTGCTATATGCAATGCCATGTCAGTGCTCAAA